TATCATACGAGTATATGATTACACGAAAAATGATATATTCATGCATTTAATGTAAAACCTTATCTCCGAAAACCCAACTCGATTTGAATTTAAATTATAATTTTTGTTTTTTAATACAATTTATTTTCCTATTTCTTGTTTTCGAGATTACTTTCCGCAGTACTATTCAAATATTTTCGCCGTTGACTATCATTTGTCGCAAGAATTTCTTACTTAAAAGTTTTCAGTTTAAAACATAGTTTTCCAGATACAGTATTCTCATCATATGATTTATATGGAAAACTACAGTTCCCTTTAGTTTGAGAGTTGTTTGTATGGACTTTATTTGCAAAATAATTTTTGACATAATATATTGCATTTTAGTCAATAATATTCAAAAACACTGTATTTATTTTACTCACAAATGTAATTAATAATTATTTTTGTCAACACAGCTACTAAATTAGTAAAAATTTATACTGGTATAATTTGCCATTCAATAAATCTTAATTTAAAATTATGTTTATGCTTGCACATTTAATTAGTTAAGGCTAGTGTACGGCTGTATATGAGTCCATTGACTATGTGACACCTGCCCTCCCTTACTGTATGTCCACAAATTCCAATCATATTCTGTATATATTTGATTAACGAATATGTTTTCCATTAATTTAGATTCAACGGAATATACAGTAACTTACCGTATATTAGGGCTTATTATATGAAATAACCAGACATTTAAAACCACTTACAGTGTGTCCTCATATAAAGCTCTGATGACTACCCACGGAATTATGAATATGACCGGTAGGCCTGTAATATAAGTAAAAATATGCTAATTAAAAATAAGTATTAGTAGATATTGAACGCATAAGTTATTTAATTCTTGCATGATGTATGATATAATATATTATGATATATACGCCTAAATGTTTAACTCATTGATAAGATTGCAGCTAAAAATCTATTATTGTTTTTCTTTATTGTACCGCAAATTGAGTTATGGATTATCGAGGCTAAGAATACGATTGCAATAAATATAGTACAAAGATTAGATGTCTAAATGTGTTACAATAGAGTTAAGGTTAATGAAGCAAGCAATTTATATTATAATATAATAAACTATATTATACTTCATATATGAATTCAATATACGGTAGAGTACAGTGCACACTAAGCTAGCTATAAATATAAATTAATAAACCTATATTTTATCATTTATTTATGCATTTTATTCATAAAGTGAAAAGTTTGCGCAAAACTCGGGCTAACTTTAATAACCAAACTTAATTATTATTCATTAGATTTGTACAAAAATCTCTTAGCAATTTGCCAGGAAGTTATTTAATAATAGAATAAATTATTTGTGTATAATAACCACGAATCTAATTGTACCGAGCATAATATGTATGTATAGTGTCTAAGGTATGAGAATGCTTACCCCATCCGAGTATAATATATCTCATTATACTTGAGTTATCATTGAAAATATGCAAAAATATTAGATTATGTAAATATAGGCCTTAGCATAATATGTATGTATAGTGTCTAAGGTATGAGAATGCTTACCCCATCCGAGTATAATATATCTCATTATACTTGAGTTATCATTGAAAATATGCAAAAATATTAGATTATGTAAATATAGGCCTTCCATTAAAATCCAATTATAGTTGGCTACCAACGAGTACTGCCATATAGTCGTAAAGATTTTACACGAAAATGCCTGTAAATAATTAACGAAAATAGGAAAATGTAAAACAAAAAAGTTGTTTTCCATATACTTTACCGCTAATTACGGTAATAATAAGATAATATAAATAAATTAACACAATATTCATATGAAAAATATAAAAAATGCTAAATATTTTCCCCGGGTTTTCACTCATTAATATTTAATTAGCGATTAGTTTTTGTTATATTAATAATGCTTATGTAGTTTATGGGAGTGTGAGTCCAATTATGACATTTTAAGACTTGAATCCTTACATTATTTTTGATAATAATAAGTAATTTTAATCCAAACTAATTTTTTATAACAAATTGTAAACTTCTGTTGGCTTAAAGTCATGGCTTATTAGTTAAGAGTGTTTTTGTTATTATTAAATTGTAGTTTATTTCTAGGGATCAAAAAAAGTTTGATCTGATTTTTATAATTAAATTTAAGGCATTTGCCGATAAATTCTCCATTGAGTTGAAAATAATCTCCTGAACGCTTTTAGTTATTTTGCAAAAAAAATACTTCAGAAAATAATAATAGACTTTAAATCAAATACTGTCTAAACTTTTTTGATAAATAAATAATAACTCAAATGATTTGTCAAAAATGTTTGTTTCACTCAATTATATAACGCAATAAATTATTGCAAAACTCGTGTATTATTGCAGCTATTGTTGAGTTTATGAGATGCGATGGGAATGACTACTTTGCGAACCGTAATCCCTGTCCCCCCTATCACTCCACCAGAAACTACACTTCAAATCTAATAATAAAACGCTTTTTAAAAACAAATAAATACAGAATTTCCACGAAAAGTATAATTCAATTAGTTTTTCAGCGAAAATTATTGACTCTTATTATAACATAGAGTTTTGGAAAATATATTTTTTTTATCTCGAAGACAATAGACAATAGTTTGAAAAGTATTGGCAAAAGTGTCATAAAATGTTGCCATAAGTGGACATGTATTGCATTTATTTGGTTGAGTAGTTAAAGTGGCGANTCTAAATAAAATTTAATTGAATCATATTGTCAAGATTAATTTTTATTAAATCAATATTCTTGAGAGAAATGCATATTAAGTATATTAAAACTTTTCATTTGAATGTCATTGAGATTTCTGTTTATACTTTTACTTACTGACAATTCATGTTTTAATCAAAAATCAAAATTAAACATTTTAAGTAAAATCATTTCATACTATAATTATCACAACTATGATACAGTATTTTACTAATGCAATAATAATTTACCCCTTTTATTATTGTAAGCCTAATATATAACGTATAACTGTAAATTATATGGAGTGCCTGTAATGTGTACGTTGTGTGCAATTAAATCTCTAATTTCATGCAACACTTAATTGGCGTTTGTTTTTCCCACAGAATATTCTACGCGAATAAGTGTTGTGTTATTCCCCGTGACTAATTATAGCGATATTTCTGGCGAACTGTTTATGACATAATAGCCGTCAGAATCTTAAGTAATTGGCTTTTTTTCAATGGATAGGGTATGTATGGGCAGCCATACCTGAAACGACGAGAATAGTAAGTCTATATATAGCCATATAATCTCGAATATGTCGTAAGAGATGGCCGATAATGAGTTGAACACCAGTAGAAACATGTAGTGAACGCCAAACAGTGGCACCAAAATGAAGGTCGACTTAAACCACGTCCGGTATTTGTACTGTCGGACGGACACCGATGACGAGAACATCTTCAGGAACAGCACTCGAGTGATGTTTATGAAGAATACGAAGTTCAGCTGATTTTATAGGAATATATATACAGAATATTACAGAATATTCAACTAATCTTATTATATTCAGATTTTATATGATAGACAATATTGTAAAGAATTTTTTTGTTATTCTAGTTCTTTTGTTTTTTGTATAATATTTGATATCAAGTTTTATACATTATTATAGCCGTTACAGTAGACTCTAATTATAGTTAGTATAGTGGTTTGCAGTCTATATCTATAACTCTTATAGCAATTACCGCTACAGTAACTTAATGTGAAATATTTGCTCATATAGTGTATAATTATTTTGGTGCTATGCAATCATGCTTATAATGAACCTGTTAATACCGTATACGGTCCTTATGTATAAACTGTAATACGATTCTAGACTGTATTGTGAATAAAAAATATTGATATTTACTATTATAGTCGCAGTAATAGGACCTCTGATTATCCAGAATATTCTCTTATCCTCGTTCGTCGTCC